GGTTTTTCGGCTGTTTTCAGGCTGGGTTTTGGCTGTTTTCAGGCCATTTTTAGGGCATTTTCAAGCCATTTTTCAGGCTGTTTGAAGTTTCTCACCGAAGTTCATCCTTGTTTCTTTTGGCTCCAGGCACAAGAGATCAACTTCCTGATCTCCTTCCAGAGGAATGCGAAAGGCGCTGTGAGGTTGGAAGTCTTTCTCCCACCCAGGAGAAACATTGCAAAATTGTCTGACTGCATGGACACCATTCAGGTAAATAAATGTTAGCGACAGAATCTTCCCAGTAAAGCCTTCCTCAATACAGAGGGCCATAGCCTGACTCTCTCAGTAAAAGCAATAAAGCTCCCTTAATCAGAATAGAGCTGGAAGGGACCGAGGAGGTCTTCTAGTCCAACCCCCTGCTCAAGCAGGAGACCAGTAGTTGGTATTCAGCCAGCTTGGATTGGTTCACCCAAACTGGTAGTGAAAATTGCGGGTGGGCCATGCCCACTCGCCCCGGCTCCATGCTGCCCTATTTAGGCATGTTTTCATGCCACACGCACGCATACATGCCACGCGTGTGATCAAATGCACATACACGGAAGGCCGAGCGCACGCGTGGACACGGGCATGTTCACATTTGCGAACCGGTAGGGAAAGTAAGTGAATAGCATCCCTGCAGGAGAGAAAGGTCACAAAACTGTACAAAACTCACTTCACCACTGCCTTGCTTAGCAACAGAAATTTTGGGCTCAACTGTGGTCGTACGTCGAGGACTACCTGAATATGGAAATGGGCTTAATAATGCTGGATGACTTCGCCAGAGTACTAAAACATTCTTTTGAAAAAATAAGAAGAACCTTTAGTTAGCACCCACCCCTCTCTTAGAAAAATGAAATATTTTAGGAAATATGAAAAGGGCAGAATATTTCCCCTAAAAGGGAGGCAGAAACTCACTTCCCACTTTTGTCAAATGGGCCATTAAGGTCTGAGCGAGTCTATTCCACATAACAAAGATCTATCTCCTTCAGGCAGAGCCCTAGTAGGGATTGCCCAAAGCCCTTTCATTACATCAACACCAGTGGTGGGTTGCAGGCGATACGCCCCAGTACGGACGCACCAGGTACCGTTTCAGTACTGCGCTCCGGAGGGCCCACCTGCCCACCCTCCTTACCTGTATTTGAGCTCTTTGGTGCTTCCACGCACGGGCATGGAGCATATGGTGCCTGCGCGACGCTCCACCGAGCAGCTGGAGCATCGTGGAGGTGTCGCAGGAGGTAAGGACGCATGCATGCACTGTGCGCCTGTGCTGCGCGAGTTCATGTGATGGACACCGGGCCCCATTGCACTGTACCAGTTGCAACGGGATCCAGAACCCACCACTGATCATCACCCAGCAAGAGTCAACCAAGCTTGGGACTCAGGACAGCCTGTAGAGTTGCCCCTGCATGGCCCCATTGGAGTCTGACAACCAATCAGAATACAAGCTCAAATTCAAAGCCCAACAGAGGAGGTAGGTAGGTAGGTAGGTAGATGATAGATAGATAGATAGATAGATAGATAGATAGATAGATAGATAGATAGATAGATAGATAGATAGATA